AACTGTTTAACATCTTTCTTATCCGTTGCTGTTGATTTTCAGGAGCCGTGGCACCCGGCGATGATCTTACCCCATGGAGGGACACGCACCTCCAACGCATTTCTCTCACCCCTTTACCCTGCTGAGGCCTCAGGTATGAAACAGTCTTGTTCCTGACCTCAGGAGTCAGCGTCCTGATGCTTGCCTTCCGCCTGGATTTGGTTTGGTTTGGTCTGGTTTTGAGGGGACAAATTCTGCCAAACTACTCTGCCATCAGTAAAGTAGGTCAGGGTTGAAACACCATTTGGGAATTAGATTTTAATTTGAAATCCTCTTTTCCTGCTATTTAAGTTCTGGCCATAGTCATGTCAAAAAGTGTTTTTGTCTCTCCATGGACCACATCACTCCTGCCTTCAGAAGACTAATTACTCAGTGTGACAACTGTAAATTACCTTCTTTCTTTCTTTATTTATTTATGCTCTACCACGTTTCAAAAACAAGTTTTAAGGTGGCTTACGAAAATACAAACAATAAAAAATAGAAAAATAAGAGAGGGTAGATGAAAAAATATGGATAAGAAGAATACTACAAATATTTACTCTTTACTCTGGATTCAGAAGCTCCACATAAGCCACTTACACTTATTTTCTCTCTTCTAAGTCATGTTTCAGCCTGTTTTTTCTTGCTCCTGTTTTCCCATTTCTTGTCCCATAACTTTTCCAAAGTTACCAGTATGCATCCAAACTGTGTTCTCCCAAAGATTCAAGCATATCTGTGTCTGGAAGGCAATCATTAGTAGATCTACTTACCAGGGATTTCAAGGAGTTACCTAGGAAGAGACTCATCTCAAAGAGAAAGGAGATGGGGCCCCACAGTTTTAGGCCAACATCAGAGAAGAGTGAGTTGTAAGCTTTTCGATAAGGCAAGAAATAAGAGCGCCTGTGAAGCCTTTAAAGAACTGAGGCATTAAGAGTATGAACTATCAGCAGACACAGGGCCCACTGGGCAGGCATCAAGGCAGCAGCAACCTAAGAGCCGCAACCTTAGAACTGAGTTTCTACAAGTAGGAGGGGCTTGGCTACTGCTGCTGGCTCCAGCCATGAAGAGAAGGAGAATATGGAGAAACACAAAATGGTGGGCATGGAGACCAAGAGCAGTGGTTCTCAGAGCCATGTGAGGCACACTCATCATACTGGGCAGGATTTCAGAGGAGTTAAGTTACTCCATAGTGCTCAAAGGCAAACTTCCTGTTTTGTGAGCTCCTTCCTGGCAGAGAGGAGCATGGAACACATGGTATGTCTGCTTCCTGGGTTCATTATACTAGTCTCAAATTTACGTCTAGAATCTAACCCTCGTTTACTCTTCTAACTTCACCTTCCATCACTCTTATGTCATTCACTCATTGCCCTCTAGACACATGACATCTGGAGAATCCTTGAAAGAGAACCCTGCTGTTTCACATCACTGCACCTTTTCAGATTGCACATTCTGCCAAGATTGCCCTTTTCCCCCTCTATTCTTTGAAATATTTCCTGATCCTCCTTCCCACACTTCAGTCGTACTGCATTGACCACTTCATGGTGGTGCCAGTGGAATGTTTTGTGTAGACCTCATTATGGCATCCCCTAACACGTCAGTGATGGCACCTCTAACACTGTTTATATGCTTATTTTCCTCCAGCATCCTCGTTAGGTCAGGAACCACTTCTGGTTCCTTGTTTTAACCCCATTGCCTAGAATATGGGCAAGCATGAAATAGGGGCTTAATAACTATTTGTAGGAAGAAAAAATATATTTCTAGATATTCCTGGAAGCATCCTCTTAACAAAGTGGACTATGGGGGGAAAGCTTGGCCCCCAGGATGCTTGAATGTTTTGCTCTACATTTGTATTAAGGTAAAAACAATGCTAGAAGACAACACATGAGTGTACAAAAGAGAAAGTCATAATGGTTTTTACTATTTCTTTAAGTAATATCAGATCGTTGTGTGTGAAGTTATTGTCTTGTATTTGTCTATGACTGCCGTTGCATGTAAAGCACCCTGAGTACAAAGAAATATTAAAATTATTGAACCATCTTGAGATTAGGTCAGCAAACAGAATATTATTAGCACAATTCATAGTCAAGAGACCAACTCTGCTTTGGTTTGAATTACCACAGTAAATGAAGACAAAAGAGAAAATTTTATCTAAGTGTGCTTCATAAGCTGCCTGAATTCTCCAGATCAAAAACAACTTTGAAAATTACTTAATATGTAACTGCTTGTCCTAAACCTGTAAGGAAAGAAGGAAGAAAGCATAGATCCATTAAAAGTTTAGGATATATGGCAGAGAGAAGAGTAAAATCAGTGGTAAGGGGTTTCACATTTATTTTTAAAAAACTACTGTTTTTGTAAAACTACTTGCTCCTTATTAAAGAAAAAGGTCAGAAAAAAAAAAGAAAAAGGTCATGAACTGCGAAAAAAAAAGTATAAATAAGAAAATAAAAAATCACCTGAAATTCCATCATCCAAAAATAACCCTTGATTGCACAGTGAGAACATCATTCCAGAACCTAGTTCCAACAAAGCCTTGGAGGAACAGCCTGTTGGACAAGAATTTGCAAAGAAACAGGTGAATTAATTTTGTAAGACTCCACTTGAAATAAACAAAGCGACTTTAAACATGCCAGTTACAATCATATTTTTATAGATTTCTTCTCTCCACATGTATCCAAAAAACAAACAGAATAGACAAAACTATTCAGTGAGATTTTACTTAAGTTCAGAACATTCAACGAAATTACTCATTCCTAAAATGAATCATTTTCTCACACTTTTCAATCAGGAATTTTAAATGTAATGTTTATTTTGAATCTTCACCCAATCTGATACACAGCTTGGGATCAGCCATTGTGACTGCATCCATGCTGAGCTTCCTCACCTTGGTTTATTTATATCTCCACATTAGTCAACTGAAAGGGGAGGAAGGGAAAAAAAGAAAGCCCAGCAGACAGTAACAAGCCAATGCAAAGTCCCTTGGTATGAACTAGGATTGTCAAATAAGTTACTTCTTACATAAATGTGGGAGTATCATAATATTCTGTCTACTCGTACCGAAAGTGCAACAATTATACTAAATATTTATAAAGTTCCTGTCTTCTAGGGAGCTCAAAGAGAAATATTTATATAAGTGATCTCAGCGGGTCTCCAACATTCAAATAAGGAAGCTGAAGCATTTTCTCACTTTCTCCTCTATTAACTAAGCCTCTTGTGTGGATAGGTGACTGGTTCAAGTTAATACTATGAGTCAGTGGCAGAAAAGTCAAAAATAGAACTTTGGTTACTTTCCTTTTTTTTTTTTTTTTAACTACATAGTTTCTCTAGCTCTCACCTCATCGTCAATAAAAATATAACTTTTAAAGTCATGGGGTCATCACCATGAAACACTCTTACGTTGGGGCTGATTTTTTCACATGAGCAAGATGCTATGACCCACTATTAGCCCAGTGTTACAGTCCTTAATTTAATAGCGGATGATACCAACGATGATGCTTGGTGGTGTGGATAAAAAAGGTGTGGCTATCGTTCATTGACTTTTATTATTAGGAAACTGAAATGGGCTGAACTGAGTTGGTTTTTTT